GACTGGCAGCTACTGTGCTATTTTGAACAAGCTGAAGATATGTAGTATACTACTGTGCTATTTTGAACAAGCTGAAGATATAAAGTATACTATAGTAATACGAATCTTCCTGAAGGTTTAAAAAAGCTCCGGTTAGCTACGGTCAAATATTTTGTGTTTGTGGTCAAATTAAATCATACTACACAGAAAAAAGGAAACAGAAAATTCTTTGACGCATTACTAGTATATTACCAGTGGTATTATGCCAGAAAATTGAACCTTCAACTCGCTAGAGATAATGTTTTTAGTGCGTTCCACTAACTTAAAATACTTCAAGTATTGACAGCTGTTTCCACCTATTTAAGGTCTCTTTAGTGGTGTCACACCAAAGCAAAGCACTACCTAAGCTTATATACTCTTCATGTAAGTCAACAGAGGCGAGGTTTAAGAACATCACGTGATCCACACCGCCTTTGCCGCGATCGGTACACACTATGCAACCGGGAATGCACGGCAAATTGTTTTAATCGTTTTAACTGAGTGCTTTAGGTTGAAGTATCTCTTATTTTACAAACAACATATTTAGTAAACTAAACCATACAGCGGGTTGGTTTCACTAAAGTTTTCTGGGTTAATTTAACCAATTTAAAAAAAAATAAAATAACTATCTGGTTTAGTACCGTCAGACTAATCTTTGTTTATATTAACCTTCCCACAGTTGATAAAAATTAAAAAAAAATACAAAAATAAATACTTATGGGTCAACTAAATTAATATAGTTAAATGAACTATTCCTTTTTTTCTGTGTAGGTGCACTTCTCAAATATTTTTAGATAAACACCGTTTTGGTGTTTGCTGTATATAACATTTTCAACCATAATTCATAGTGTTATATTAACACCACTTGGTGTTGGATTTTGACACCATTTTAAGATTACTCTTTACACCACAGATATTTTAAACAGTGTACTATCATCCCTGTTCGGAAATTTTTAAATTTATATTATTTGCTCAGTCTCGGCCCAGACCTACCCAAGACTGTTGTGTGGTCAAAATTTATGGAATGTTCAGTGTCCAAAATGTGTCCCGCAACCGCTGATCTGGTGCTCTGTCGCCTTTTGTCTGCCTTATGTTCACCCATCCTGGTACTGATGTAATTGGATTGTATTGATGGATTGTTCGTTTTATGTCGACTTCCTGGTATTCATTCTTCTTTCAGTTGAAAGGTTCAGTTCCCCTTCCAGATGATCTGGTTCGCTGATGTTTTGGCCCTAGGATTCGGGGTGTTTAGAACTCCTAATTTTTTAGCGGGATCATGATGTGAGTCAGCGTGTAGATACATGTATTTCCTGTATACTTTATGGCCCTTATGTGTTGTTATTTTTCCGGGAAACCAGGACGTCAAGGAAAGCAATGCAACTATTTTCTTCCTTCTCATTGGTTATACCTAATCTTATTCATGTACAATCTCACAGATTCGTTTAGACTGTGCCCTTCTTCTAATGAGATCTTCCTTACCTGAAATTTATTACAAATAAAAATATTGAGTGAAAATCAACCCTGAAGTCGATGAATTCTAGATTTTGATGCTGTTCTAGACTTTAAAAGCATTACTACATAAATTACTTACCAACATCTTACGTGAAACACGAAAATACAAATATTAATAAAATATTTATATTAATTATGTTTATATACTATATAGTATATAGTATATACTGTATATACTGTTTTTAAGGTCTTCATTCTGACAGGAAATCGAAGGTAGTAAAGGTTCTGATTTTCCTATTTTGGTTCTGGTCTGTTCTGATTTAGCTTACCTACCATATAAAATTAACTTCCAATTTTGATAAATGCATATTAATTTATTAGGTATACCTACCTACCTAATAACTAAAAATAGCTGGGCTGAAAACACAAATTTCATAATAGTTAATTTATATATACATATATGGGAAATTCCACGCCAAATCTACCACTTTTGACCCGACCCCTTTTGATTTGACTGAACTTTTTAAATTTTTTTCTACCCCACTAAAAAAGTTTCTCAGAATTTTTTAGAAAAAAATACAAAAAAGTTTTGGAAAAAAGAGATATTTTTTGAAAAATTTTTAACATGTTTTTGGTCGGGTGAAAAAAACTAAAAAATTCTAAGAAAATTTTTTAGTGGGGTGGAAAAATATAACATAATTTCAGCCAAATCAAAAGTGGCCGATTTGGCGTGGAACGACCCATATATAAAATTACTATTATGAAATTTGTGTTTTTTAACTCAATTGAGAGCAAATAATAATAACCTAACACAGGTAGTTGTACAAAAAACAGGCAAACATAGGGCAACGACTCTTTTTCTAAAAAAATTTCCTACAGGCCACCGCTGTTCTGGTTTTCCCATTTACACAGTTGGTCAATGCACGCATTTCATTGGTCGGTTGTTTTTTGTGCAGGCCGTCATGGTTCGTGTTTGTGCCTTATTGAGCCATGACGCCATGACGGCCTGCACAAAACAACAACCGACCAATGAAATGCGTGCATTAAGCGAATCCTCTCGAGTGAAACCGAACCAAAACCGAACTTTTCAAATTCAGTGCGCCATCTAGGTACTGCATTTTTTTTATCAAAAAAGTACTTGTTCTTTTAATTTTTTAAGTTCGTTCACGGTAAAAAATTCAATAAATCCGTGTAACAAATAATTACTCGAGTGTGTATTCTTAAAAAAAAATATTTCCGTCCCTAGTAAAGTTTGCATAAATAAAAAACCTATTAATATAATAAATAAATTTTATAAAAATATTGATTTTTTAAAGTTCAACTTATAAAAATCAAAGCTTAGAGGTTTCGTAAAAAAATATAAATACCTCATAAACCAACGTTGCCGAAAAACCTAAAACAATATTTAATAAGAAATAATTTATTTCAATATTAAATTTCCTTTCCTGAAAATGTGATGAAAAATATCTTTAAAATATTTTTTTAAATAATTTTTTTTGGCCAAAAGATTTTTTGGCTAAAAAAACTTCTGGTTAAAACTATTTTGATAAAAAAAAAAGTGGCCAAAAATGCTTTCACCCAAATTAAACAAAAAAATTTTTTGGTAAAAAAATTATTTGGGCAAAGAAAATTTCGGTCGGAAATTTTTATAAAAAATTCCAGAAACTTTTAGTTTTATGCAGGGCTGTAGCCAGCTCCCCCTCCGAAATTTTATGTGTAACAATTTTTTTTAGTTCTAAATGTGAAAATGAATGAAAGATATATCTATATCCGAAACAAAATCCTAACTACGGGCCTAGTTTTATGAATAAGTAATTATTTAACCCCATGGGGTAAAACGCCAGTGCATTTGCGCGTAGGTATATAGGTACTATACAGGGTGTCCGGGAAAAGGAAGTCAATCCGTTAACCATATATTCTTTGAGTTAAAACAATAAGACTTTCATAATACCATTTTTCAATTTAGAGCTTCATGTTCGATATACAGGGCGACAAAGTTTGAAATTTAAAACTGTTTTTTTTAATAATTCGAGTAATTGATAAGATATTAAGTTCAAATTCGGTACACTTCTTCAACATAAATAGTTACATTTTTTAAGACCAACAAAACGAAAAACAATTGTCAAATAATCAAAATAGGGGGGTCCAGTACTCACTGACTCCCCCTATTTTTAGTACGTGCGCCAATGACTTCCAAACGGTATTTTTTCAGGTAATCATTTATTGTTAAAAAAAATTTGTCTCTTATAAAATTTTGATAAAAAGATTTGTCTTAGAGATAATTTGTAAAGTATGGGTCAGTCCTTGTCAAATCATCCAAAGGTTCTTCCCTCACCATCTCCGATTTTGATAATTTTTGGTAAATTTGTTTACCTCACTAAAAAACTCAAAAATCCCATATATGAATCGAGTGTTCTTCGGTAAAACAATACAACTTTTACGAAATATCAATGATCGTGAAAAACCCGTTTTTTATACTTGATTTAAAAAAAATTGAATTTTTTTCTTTACATACATAAGTAATGACAAAAAAAAATAGTGAAACAGTACAAGTTATGGAATAACATTTTTTATTTTAATTGAAAAATTATTCAAACATGGCTTTTATTACTCTACATTACCTAATAGTTACGTGTAAATAGAATATTTATTATTTTTTAAGAAAATTATTAATTTTTTTGTTAGGTAAAGAAAAAATTTCGAATTAAAAAAAAATAGGTATGGGAAAAAACCTGTTTTTTTCACGATTATTGATATTTCATAAAAATTGTATTGTTTTACCGAAGAACACTCGATAAACTTCACGAAAAATATGATATTTCATGTTTTTGAGACAATATTTCGTGATAGAGTATGAAAAACTATAAAAGTCATCATTTACTATTTGAAGTTGAACTTTAACCTCAAATTGCTTTTAAAAGAGTCGACTGCAAAAAATCATATCAGATCTTTTTTGTAGATCAATTCCCTACAAGAATATGTATTGATTTCTACAACTCACTGATTCGTTAAAACGCAATAAATTTCCAAACAAAAAAAATGTATTTTTCCCGTGTTATTTAAATGGAAAATAAAAAATCGCGATGAGCCACCTCTTAATATTGATATTAAGAGCTCAAACTTTAACAGAATTTTTTTTTCGTCATCTTGGACGATTTTTTCAAGTTTTAATTTTTTTTTTGTTTAAAAGTCACTTCACGCGACCTTGAACTCTTTGGAGCTTCTATTATGGCAATGTCGACTAAACTGGCTTCACAGTTGCAATTAATTTATAATTGAAAAGTTCACCAAGCAAATAATCTTTTAAATAAAATTTAAAACCAGAAGTAAATAATGTTAAATATTAATAAAATTATTACCTATACAATGGAAAATATTTTAACCAAACCTGATGATTAATTGTTAATTAACATAATTTACACGAAATACCTATATCTTATCATAAGGTTATTTATAAAAAAATCATATCTTATCAATAGTTACATATATTCATATAATTATACTTATTTGACATTTTTTTTAAATTTCAGGCGAAGATGGACGACAAAAAGCCCCGATATGTCGGTTCCAAAGTCTCGGAAATTGCCAATAGATTCCAAACGAGAACCTCAACACCAAAGGAAGACATCATAGCACCTTTGAAATCTAAACAACAGAAACAAAATCAGAGCGCCTCGCTGGACAACGATTCTCCTGCTGTTACCGTGGTTCGAACAGAGTCCCATGTAACTAGATTTAATAATGCGAGGGCAATGTTCGAGAAACTGGGCGAAGAGAATCGCAATAGCAGGGAGAGAATAATTCCTTTACAATCTACAAAAAGTGCATCCAGTATTTTGGATTCGAGATCCAGAAGCAGCTCTGCAAACAGCGAAACAAGGGAGACCAAAAGTCATTCATCCAGATCACCTTCTCCACCTCCAAGAAAAAGTTTTGATTCGGTGATTAGTAACAGTGTGCCAGTTTTAAATGATAACGAAAATATAATTAGGAAAACGAACGGTTTCAATGCAAATAACAGCATCGAAGAGTGCAAAAGTGAAAAAGTGGTTAAAACGAACGGTAATAATTTAAACCCAGATGAACGAACTAAAGTAAATGTGGTGAAGAAACCTGAAAAGCCGGAGAAACCAGAAAGAAAGTTTAACAACAGCAAAGAATTAATTGAAAAGCAGCGGAACTGGACGTCTCATTTTGCCAAGTCGCGCATGAACAGATATAACAGTGATCCAAATAATGGAGATGCAAAATTTGTAGTGAATAACGGAAACAAGGCCAGTTCCTGTGATAATAAAAGTTCTGCAGCTGCAACAAGAAGCGCTTCTTTTAACAACAAAATTCGAAGTCCGCCAACTTCCCCTACATCTCCAACTGGAAACAGCGATGCGATAAGAAGAACCAATGTTGTGCGAAAAGAAAGACCAGCTTCCGTTATCCCAACAACGTATATAAGCCCTACAAAGAAAGACATTAGCCCGATTACTTCGCCCACCAAGGAACCACCGCCTAGACAACCCCGCACAACTAGCCTAAGCAGTACGCCCTCGTACGATAGTTCTTCGAGTAAACCTAATAGATGGGAGGACAGCGTCGAGCAGGAAGATTTAACAACACCTCCACATTTTGCTCCAAAATGCTTATTTAAAAGCAACTCTAACAAGAGCCATGATGATGACTATCTAGCACCACAATCGTTTGTTGTTCAAAAATCACCACTGGAAGACCATGAGTTTAGTAGGGAAAACTTATCGGCTACTTCTGGCAGTCTTTCTTCACTTAGTCCTCCTAGTAGCCCCAGTAGAATTAAGTCGGAGCAGGAGAAGCAGGAACAAGAATGTAGCGAAAAAACAACAAACCGTCGTAAGTATTCATATTGTTAAAATTTCATAACTTGTGTGGGATAAGATATATGTATCTACCTAATGTATAATTGGACTCAGTTATGCGGGAATCGTCTAACCCATCCATACTTTGTTTTTTGAAATTAAGGTTGAAGTTTACCTAATTTTACATATAAGTAGCAGTTGTTCAAACCACATTAAATTCATGTTTTTAACTGCCTATTTTTTGGTTTTATTGGTATACATTAGGGTGTGTCATTTTTAGGCGATATTTTTTTTTTCGCTGTTATACCAGAAAATCTAATACTTTATAGAAAATAAAAAATTATGCCGCCGGGTAAAAGGTTCTAAGTGCAATAGCGGCTTAGCTCATTTAAAAATTCAATTTCCCATTGAAATAACACAGAAAATTTTTTTTGTTCGTTTTAATTAGATTTTTCGCTGTTAAAAACTTTTTTCCCTAAAAACTTTTTTATAGCTTTTGTAGGAAATTAAATTCTCTACAAAATCATCCCTTTGCTCGAAGACCGTATAACCAGTAGTTTCAGAGTTATAGCGCTGGAAATATAAACTTTTATAAAAATAGACCTCAAATTCCATTTTATTTTTCTTCGAGCAAAGGGATGATTTTGTAGAGAATTTAATTTCCTACAAAAGCTATAAAAAAGTTTTTAGGGAAAAAAGTTTTTAACAGCGAAAAATCTAATTAAAACGAACAAAAAAAATTTTCTGTGTTATTTCAATGGGAAATTGAATTTTTAAATGAGCTAAGCCGCTATTGCACTTAGAACCTTTTACCCGGCGGCATAATTTTTTATTTTCTATAAAGTATTAGATTTTCTGGTATAACAGCGAAAAAAAAAATGTCACCTAAAAATGACACACCCTAGTATACATTCTAGACAAAATATTATGTTTTATTGTGGTAATTGCAGAACCAATGTTTCGTTAAAATCACCTATTTATGTTAGGTATATCTTCAAATTATAATAAAATATGTAACTTTTGCGACATAAATAATTGTTCACTTAAAGAGTTGATTTCATGCATTTTTTTATACCTATTTCATCTAGTTTAATATTGCTTTTTTTAATATATTTACATTTTCTTACTTAAATGAATTGTAATTCTTTTCCTGTAATTGGATTATCTGTTGGGCAAATAAATACATTATTATTATTATTATTATTATTAAAAACAATTCTTTTCTAGAAAGGATGATTGGAAATGATACAGTACCATTGGTAGCTACTATACCAACAATTAATCTCATCAACACTTTTTTTGTAAGATTTTTCAAAATAGCGATTTTGTTTTTTGAATTTAATTTCAGTTTAGGAAAAAATAAAAAGTTTGCTGGAGCAAAGAATAATATGGAGCTTGATCAGAAGTTTTAATTTAACTAATTATGCTGCATGAACTATGTCTTTGTAAATTTGTGGGTTGTTCGCTTTCTGCAGAACTTAGTCCAATTAACGTCTTTTAGCCAATTATCCATGACCATTTATCGAGTTATGCAATACACTTTTCCTTGATTCTAATTTTGTATGGTTTATAAATAGATATGCGCATTTAAGATGCGGCTCTAAATGATGTAGATTACTTTTAATATTGAAGATTTTAAAGGAAGTAGGTAGAAAGTCATATGAACAGAATTATATATTTATAATTGAAAGCTGTCTCATCTATTTTAATTATATATGTGGGTATATATTCTTGCTTATAGCATTGGTACATTTAATATAATTTTTTTTGAAATAAAAAGAAACTTTAGTAAAGTTACTTTACCACTGCGTTCAGGTTTATTCGATTCAACGCTTATGATTAGCATTCATTACTTGATCTGATATAAATCTCCATAAACATTGATATGTTTTACCCAACACTTATTAACAGCCAATTGGCAATGTGGGCAGTGGCAAAAGAAAAAATATCGGACGCAAACAAAAATGAACTGTGTAGGACTGTTGGAATTTATTTATAGATCACTCTGTTTTGTAAAGGCAACTTTTAGTCTATGCTTTTCTGTTACTTTGCGCATTACTAAAATGACTACTCTCTTTCAGACTTAACCAAATACTGCTGAACGCCATGGTCTATGCTTAGTTAGTGCCTTATTTTTAATAGTCATTTTAATTATTATTTGGGTTTAGCGCAGTTTAAATGACGTTTTTGTGTACATGCGGCTTTAAATGGTGAAGCATTTTGGTAAAATGTGCCTGAGACTGCGTCTGTTGTGTATAGATTGTTCAGGTTTGTTTGTTTTCTTTCTTTATAACTCCTTTGCTAGTATTTTGTTGCTACGGCATTTCCTGCTACTGTACCTATTCTGAGACTTGTTTGTTTTTCAAATCCATGGTACATATACATATTCAATGTTTTCAAATTATTGTCTGTCTTTATGCATGTGTGTTTATATTTCCTGCAATTAAACAATTTTATTTTATTACGGTTACTGTTGATTAAAAGAAGTCAAATGAATTTCTTTTTACATTATTTGTCCAGACTGGTAATAAGATAAATACAAAATATCATTTGGTTAATTCTGAGGTCACTAGCTTAACTTTTACAATTCTTATTAAAAACATTAAGTTAAGTTAAAATGTATCATTTCCTGTTTCTGGTTATATTTCTAGAGCAAATTTGCGTTTGAGCCAGGGTAAAGTTGGAGAAGTATGCAAAATACATTAAATAAACTTAGGAAGAGGAAATTAAATTGAATTTAAAGTCAGGGTCAAAATTAATTTATTTTTAAGTTATTTGCATTCATAATGCATTTGCAAAAATGTCGCTGATTCAAAAATTTCTCAAAGCAAAAAACTAAACAAAATTTACTGATCATCCGGGGATCTAGATAAAAATGTATCATCAAAAATTACTGTTCACATGTATAATTACTGGAGAGTTCAGGTAATATGCATAATAACCTAAACTTACAAAACTAACCCTTCTCAAGGTTTTTCTTCTCCCGTTGATTAATAATAAAATTTAAAATCATAATGATAAACAATTAAACGCCAATAACCAACAGGTCAACGGCGTAAAATTGAACAAAACTCACGACTGACTATTTAGGTCTTATAAATACCTTAATCACTATAATGCGAGTCTTAAAAACTTTTAATAATTATTTTAAATTCCTTTATTTGATATCTATTAATAGCTTTTTATGTAAAAAATTGCCCTTTGATAACAAATAAAAAATATATATTTCTGTTAATTAAAAATTTTAATTACCCACAATACGTTAAAAGGTTTTGTAATCATAAAAGTTGTTTATTTTCGCTCGGTATATGTTGGTATTTATAATTGTCTTAAATCATTAATTAGATGCATTTAATTGTCGTAAACATGGTTTGCATATAACAACGTTATTGCTTAATAAAAATTAACCTATAAATGCAGACATTTGTATTTAAAATGTATTACCTACGTATTAATATAAGTAGGTATATCTTTATTATAATGAATGAAATAGTATATTGTAGACCTAGGCAGTAAAGTGACATTTCTCCAGACTAAAACATGAAATGTACAGGGAGCCTGGACACTTCTTGAAGCCTGTAAAAATTACTTTACCGCTGGGGTTTGCATATATTTTTGTTTATACCAAGGTTTATACACAAAATGACTAAATTAATGTATTTCCTACATTTGGGTCATTTACAATAGCAACGGATGTAAAATCTGTTGCTTTGGATGTAATAGCTATTTATGCACAAAGGGTGTTATTAAAATGATTATGCCCAGAGAGCGTCACCCAGCCCAAAGGATTGATGTTGCTCAATGGGCGTAATCATCTAGTAAGGGGTCATTCATTAATTCGTAAGGCAATTTTGGCGATTTTTCGACTCCCCTCCTCCCCTTGGTGAGATGTGGTGAGATTTTGCTCGACCCCCTCCCCCCTCCATAATCTCACGTGAGATTTTTTAAAATGCCTAGTTTTAATGTAAATAAGTTAATCTGTGCTTGATTCCATTAGATTTATTAAAAAAAAAACAATTTGCTTATAATTGTTTACTTAATTTAACCCAGTTTTCTCGCAATTTTACACTGTTTCATTCAAAAAGAAAAAATTACGTGACATTTGCCGAGACCACCCTCCCACGTGAGATTGGGGAGGTTTGGCACGACCCCCTCCTCCCCTAAACACCTCACGTAATTAATGGATGCCCCCTAACGCCAGTGGTGCAACAAGATTTTATTTTTCACTTTACATGAAACTGAAAAAAATAATGTTATTTTCTGAGGGCGTAATAAATCCATTACGCATCGGTTGTTGTGGATGCAATTTTCACTTCACCTAAAACTGATAAAATAATGTTATTTTCTGAAGGCGTAATGAACCCATTACGCCCTCTTATTACGCATCGGTTATTATGGATGCATTTACGTATCTCGTAAGGCGCAATGACAAAATAACAGCTAAGTGAAAAGTAATAGTACAATAATTGTAATTATTACTCTGCCTAGCCTTTTGTGGGTATTTTGCAAGGCTAGCCTTAGAAACACCTAGGTGTAGTTACTTTCTCGTCCTATGTTGGTTCTAAAAGCGATAAAAAATAAATACAAAAATTATTTATCCTGTGGAAATCGGGTACATAACCTTGTAAATAAAAAAACATCACTGAGTTTATAAATTCGTCTAAAAAAATATTTTGTTCAATTATGTCCCCGCATTTTTGTTAATCAATGGAAACCAATAGACTTGTATTATTAAACATGTTTTAAAAACCATAATAGCAAAGAAGTATTGACTAACTAAAGCTTACTTGTTGGGCATAATAAAAAATTCCAGCTAAGGAAATTTAGTATTTTTTTATTATTTTTAACTTAAAATTTAATTTCCATAATTATCTTTTATCTTCACTACCAAATTCGGTAAACTTATATTTATGAACACAAATAAGATCGCATGTTGATTTAATTTGTTATTTGATTTTCAGATCATGGTGACTTAAGAAAAAATGAGAATAAGACTGAAGAAATTGTTGCAGTGCCAAGAAGAAACAAGCAATCCAGTATTTCTATAAACATTCCAGCCGCTGGATTAGGTAGTCGCCCTCCTTCTATAGTAAGTACTTCGACTTCAGACGAGGGTGGTTTCAACGAGCCCTCGCCAAAAATCGAAGCTAAACTTAAACCACACGAAGAATCGATTTACGACTTTCCGATGAATGAAGACAAGCCACTGGAGTATACGGATAACTCTCCAGAAGATATCAGCGAATATAAGGAGGTAGTTTCTGATCCCAGTCCCACAAGGTTGACCCAATCGGAAATAGAAGCGTTATATGCAGTTCCACACAAAAATCAATCTAAACCACCTCCCCCTCCTCCAACTACTGTGGAAGTCGAATACGCAGTGCCGCAAAAACATGGAATATCTGCCTCACCAATCGAACACGTTTCCTACGCGGTTCCCAATAAAATCAATGTCGTTCATCAAAAGTCAGTGTCTTCGACTGATTCTGAGGTATCATACGCAGTGCCATATAAAAACGGATTGCACCATCAAAAATCGAACACCTCGACAGACTCTGAAGCCTCACAAGTAACTGTTGTTCCTCAGAAATCTTTCGATTCAGATGTGATGTATCATAACCTACCGGCTTCTAATAGTTCTGTTGTATCTGGTTTGGAAAGCCAAGAAAGTTACGAGAAAAACTGTCCAAGTTTTCTCGAAAAAGAACGCGAACACAGTGAAAAAAGTTCGGACAGTGTGGATAATGTAAAATCCGAACCGTTTATAATGGTACGTGAGGTGCTGCAAACGTCCGATCGAAACGTGAAGACGCCCGAAATACAAAGATCAGAGGCGAATATTCTAGACTTGAACGATGTGGAATACGCGGATGCAAGCGACAACGACGACAGTGTTGGTGACAAGAATATACCTGAAGCGGACACCATGACACCAGATGAGGCTGAAAATTTACTTAGCACAAAGTAAGTGTAGTTTTTGTTTTTATATTTTTTAAATGCATTCATAGCAATATGAATTCCCAAATTAAATATTTTTTGCTCGTATATTGTTTTAGTGTTTAATGTTCAAAATAATTCTTTTTAAAGGTTATGTTGGGTAATGCATCAAATGCTTGATATTTTAAGATCTCCCATATACTTAAATAAAATATAAATAGACTATTTTTCTTTGTCCCTTTATTTTAAAATATTATTTATTTTTAAATCAATGAATTAGTTCACATTGTTAAAATCATATAATATCATTTACTCTTACTTACTTATTTAATTTTTTTATGTTGGCTTCCTTCCAATAGAATTTTGGAAAAGAAAACAAGGTGAGTTAATTTTGCTTTTTATTTTTTTTTCTACTTTTGTCCTTCATTGCATGCAAATTATTATAAACCAATTTACCTTTAAATAATGTTTACTTAAAAATAATGACGTAGATTACAATAACTAATATATTGTTTAAACTTACGTTGGTATCGAATATTTTCAACAGAATTTTGCAGGAATTTTCCGAAATATTCGGTCTTTGAAATGCGAATATTCGCATTAAAAAAAATCAGAGTCACTTTCGATAAAATATTCGCTCTAATATTTCACAATATGTCAACCCGGCAACACCGGCTCATAATCACCATCACAGAACAGGTCATCAAAGATCAGAATTTTCCGTTGCGATTTGGTATCAGAATTTCACTTTCTAAGGGTACGAAACTCAATGAGGTGAAGAGCTGAAGCATGCATACTTGCAGGTGGTGGCCGCTCAACAGCTAATCTAAATTATTTTTGTTTTTGTTTACGTTATTTAATTTTAGTTCTTTTTAAATTATTTTATAATTAAATTTAATTTTAATGTTTATTTAATCATGGCATTGTTTTCTCAATATGCGCATTAAATGCTTTTTATTTTTTTCATCGAAAACAGTTAGTCGTACGAAAAATGGTCAAGAAATCAAATTTGTCCTAAAATGAATGGGGATTTAAAAAATAATTTTTCTTTTGAAAAATAGCAGTGGCGTGTATAATATTTTTCCAAAAATATCTAGACCACATCCTGTACGGACGCCACTGGCAAAAAAAAATCTTCATCAAAAACTTACTGTTAATGCGTGTGCCAAATTTTATAAAAATATCTAGGAAGTTATTAAAGTTATGATAAAAAACCGATTTTTTTATTAAAACTTTTAACACCCTGTAACTCAAAAATTAAGAGGTTTAGGTTATAGGTTTATTTGAACTTTATTTCTTAAAATCAACTAAGGATTCACACCCTTAAGGTTCAGCATCTTATTCTGAAACACCCTGTATAGCAGAGGTTCCCAAAGTGTGCGCCGCTGTGCCCTTGGGCGCCGTGAAGGTAGCCCAAGGGCGTCGCGAGGCTCCCGTCTTCACCCCGTCCAATTAGAAAAACAAAATATTGAATGCTTTATTTGTATTTCCGTGTTTTTTTCTTGAAATAAAATTATTTTGGGCGCCGTGAAAATAAATCAAACCTGTTAGTGCTTCGCAAAGTAAATAAGTTCGGGAACCCCTGGTATATAGCTTAACCAAAGGTAGGCTTGTTCCTATATAAAGAGCATTTGGACTTTCCAATGGACATCAAGGACATGCGCAATAGTAAAATCGCCACCAAATTTTCGTATTGCGCATGTAATTTTGGTATTGCGCATATCCTTGACGTCCATTCGAAAGTCGAAATTCTCGGTAGGAGCAAACCCAGTATAAACTTTATACTACTGACTCATTATTAGTATGGTTCATATGTCGTTAGAGCTTAAAAATGCCGAAAAATAAATTGCCAGTGTTGAAATATTTTAGTGTTATAATAACTAATAACGAAATAGTATTTCTTGCAATAGGAGTAGATAAAAGAGTGCATCTATTTAATTTATTGCTTTATTTTATCAACAAATAAAACTAATAAAAGATTTTTTTAAGTGAAATTTTATAAAATTTCATAAATTCGGAAATTTTCTGCAACATTAAATTTTTTTTTGAAATATCATTATCACTAATTTTTATAATGAAAACATAACTTGCCAAACCTTGCTTAGCATATTTATAAATATTTTTTACAGACCAGATCTTTTGTCTGATGAAGAAGCACAAGAGGTTACAAGACTGTTAAACGCTAAGGATAAAACCAATAAATGGCAACCAATTACAAACGCTTTGCAAGACTCAGTTACGGCTTCAGTTCACGATTCATCGGGACCGATTTCGTTAAACGACAGCTGTGGTCCCCCATCGTTACAAGAAGAGTCGGTGACGGAACCGCTGGACGAACTGAATGAATCCATGACGCAAAAGTTTTTGGAAACGCAGATAAAGGATGTAGAGCCGCTTTCTCAATACTACGAGTCCACGTCTAGTTTGGACATCTCTACCACTCAGGACGATGATTGTATAAATCAGTCAAAATTCGATGCCAGCGTTTCTGCTTCAGATTCTGGATTAATTGGTAAGGGCATTTTGAAATGATAATTTGATTTCAATGTCGAATTGATGTACATGTTCTGCTTTGGTTGTTATGTTTATCAAAATAAAAGGTGTTTAAACCATAGATTTAAACCTTTCAGTATATACAGGGTAGGGATTTTACGGTGCTTTGTCCTCTAATCCGAAAATCGAAACCGGTTTAAATGGTTACTTCAATTCCGATGGAGGTTTTTAGTTTAACAAATAAATAACTACTTATTTTGTTTTTAATTATAAAAATATTTCAGGTTAAAGTTTTGAAACTATGATTTTTATTGAAAAACCAACGAGATAAAAATTACTTTAATAGCAAAGGAAGGCAAGGCATCAAATATATAACATGTTATGGTAGGTATATGGTTATAACCATACATATGTAAATAAAAGTTGTATCATTTTATTTATATTGCGGTATGTTATAAATCCAGGGCCGCGTTACGAGCTTTTGAAGGTTTTAAGAAAATCTGCAAATATTGTATTCCAAAATTCAAATTTAAAAAACAAATGGGGTCACAAAATAAAAATTATGTTAAGCAAATTTAGGTTATTTAAAAAATAATTAAAATGCGCATGCTTATTGTTAAATTCAAAATCATAAAATGCATTTTTGTCATAAAATAAAACATTAATTTTAAATGAAACCATTTTTTAAACATTATGTAGGTACATTAGGCCTAATCTATATAATAAGAATTGAAACAATGCAAACAAGGTAAACCTATTATTTTTAAGTTTAAAAACTTAATGTTTACGCTCTCATATCTTTTTAAATACAACAATATTTTCCATTAAAATTGTATTTAAAAAATATATATTTTTAATTTTCTTAAAACAATAAAAGTTATTAAGCCCAAATGTACAAATGCATTTCCATGGAAAATCTGAATCATATTATATTACCTGCATAATTATGAAAATAAATTATCTTGGGATGCAATGAAATCTAAATTATTTGTATAAAATATTTAATAATCATTATATATCATTTAATAAGTCATTATAAAATTATAATTTATTTATTTATTTAAATACAACAATGAGTAATTGTTAGGACTGGAAAACACGCAAAATAAAAATTTATAATGTGTAATAAATATTCAGTTGATAATAACATACAGTGTGACCCATTTATTGGCGACTCACCACTGTTATTTATGGCACGATTTTAACCGAATTTGTTTTAAAGTGTAGATCTTGATAAACTGTTTTTTGTAGCAAAAAACACCATATTTTTACAAAATACTATGGCCTACTATGCCAGTTTTTGGGATAAAATTTTTAGGAATAAATAATTAATAATTATTATTCATTTTTAAAGCTACAAAATCGTTCCTACTTAATAATTTTCAATAAAATTTAGTATTTGATCGTTTTGAGGGGTAGTGAATCCAGTGACGTGTATAGATTTTTTTAAATCGCTAATATAAATAAAAATTAGTAGAGGTGACGAAAATCTAATTGTAGAAAATTTTTTGAATTCTCTATTTTTTGTTTGTTGTTTTAAGTGGTGAATTTAGTGCCGTTCATAGATTTTTTTTAATCGCTAATATGAATTCTTAAAAATTTACTCTCAAAAACTGACATAGTAGGCCTTGTATTTTGTAAAATTATGGCCTTTTTTGCTTCAAAAATATAGTTTATCAAGATCGACATTTTAAAACAAATCTCACAATAAATAAAGATTTTACAGGGGTGAGTCGCAAACAAATGGGTCACACTGTATAAGCAGTGTATATTTCACAAAAAAGGTCAAATAGAGACCAAAATTATTTAAACATTTATTATATTAACAAAAATATAAAGTACAGTACAATCACTGAACCAAACGAAATCCTTGCAAAAATCTAAGACAACATGTTCTTTACTATTTGGCTGCTCTAAAAATTAAATTGCGTTTAGAAAAAAATGGTATGGGGAAACTTGAAATTTTAAGAGGAATTAACCATTACCCTTTGGGGCGCAAATTTTGTGATGCTACCAGTTTTGAGACTCCCTCATTGGCGGCCTTAAAAATTAAAACTTCTGCAATTTAGGTAATTTCGGTAATTTTGGGACATATAATATATAATACAATTTATTTTTTATTATCCTTACAATATATTTGACAAGATAATACATTTGCTATAATAATTATTATTAATTATAACAATAACAGTCCCGCATTGAAATTTATAACAACAATACCGTACATATTGCGCAGAACAGTCACAATTTTTCGTTTCGCAAGAACACTACTAATTTTTTTTTTTAATTTAAACAAACATTAAAATATTACCTTAAAAATTAAATTTTTTATTTGGGGCTAACTAAGGTAAACCGGCCTTAATGGTTGCCGTACGTTAATCTATTAATAAATTTAATTGCCTAATATGATATGAACTTATTTTATTAGGATGTATTTTAATTCTTACTTGTTTCAGATTCTGTAACCAGTATTTCCGAAGGTATTAATATAGAAACTATTTCTGATGAAAAAGGATTTACTCCTGTGGCAACAAAAATTATTGGAGTAGAACATGGAGTACATTACTATGAAGATGGGCACTTCTGGATGGAGGTACCCGGTTTACCCCCAGAGGATGAAGATGACGATTTAGAGTACCCTATTTACATTCCGAAACCCACCAAAATCGTGTTCTCAACGGATCCAATGAAAGTTTACTCCACCTTCAGCATAAACGATTATGACAGAAGAAATGAAGACGTGGACCCGGTGGCGGCCTCTGCAGAATACGAGCTCGAGAAAAGGGTGGAAAAAATGGACGTTTTTCCGGTGGAACTAGTTAAAGGTCCAGAAGGCCTCGGTTTAAGTATAATCGGTATGGGAGTTGGCGCTGATGCTGGGCTGGAAAAACTGGGAATATTCGTCAAAACAATTACAGCCAATGGAGCCGCATCCAAGGATAGCAGGATTAAGGTAAACGACCAAATCATTGAAGTGGACGGAAAGAGTTTGGTTGGTGTTACTCAGGCATACGCTGCAAGCGTTTTAAGGAACACCTCAGGTCTGGTAAAATTCAGTATCGGTAGAGAACGAGATCCGGACAACAGTGAGGTTGCACAACTGATCAAACAGTCTTTGCAAGCCGACAAGGAGAGAGAAGAAAGAAGACAAAGGGCGCTGGAAGCTGAGCAACAAGCTAGCGACGCGAGTACTGTTCAATTAACAGGTGATACATTTAAATAAATAACTTAATTTCGATATTAATTTTTTGATTTGGTTAGGAGGTTCTGCTAACACAAGTGTTAGTGATGGGCCTACAAGTCCCACATCAGCTAATCAGGAGAGTCTATTTGAAAATGAACAAGAAAATGATGTAGAATCATTGAGAATGCTTTTGCAAGAGGTAAGTGTACTATAATGATTGTAAAAATTTGTGCAGTAGTAATTTAATTGTCCACATTGCTTATGTTTTTGTATTAGTCGCAGCTTTTTCATAATTCATTCGATTGTTTTTACCACTTACATTGGAGTTAAAATTGACAGAAAAGGCAAAATTATTATTTTTACATTAAATGGCTCTAATATTTAGTTTATTGGCATACAAGGGTACATTATGACAGTACATCTTATTCATAACTAGTATATTAAATATAACATTCGAATGTAATTTGATTTAATTTGTGTGTATTTGTTACGCAGACTCAACGAAAATATAATTTGTCAGAGCTTGAAGTTGCACGCCTTAAAACTAAGGTAGGTAAAATTGGTATGTTACTAAAATATCTAACAAAATGATTGTTAACGTTTTATTAACACCCTTTGAAACACATCTTGCATGCAAACGCGTTGGAATGCACGCATTTGCACAAAATTTGTGTTTACGCACAAAGTTTGCATTGCAAATTTGCACAATTTTTGCAAATTCTGACAAAATATTTACAAAAAATATACAGTGACAGCTGTAAATGCAAAAGTTAACTTCTTTAATTGTCTAGGTTGGTACAACTGAATTTTTGTTAATGCGTTAACTTTCCTCTACTGTATAAAATCGCGTGAATATTATTGATTATTTTACTCACTATCTCTCAAAGGCAGCGTCGAATTTCCGTTGCGTTTGTACATTAAAATAGTGGCAAAAGACGGCGATTTCTAAAGAGTGTGTTGCTACACCAGCTTCACTCATGCAGCAAACTTCACCCTCTTGAGAAATTGCCTCCTTTCACTACTTTATATGTATGTACCGTTATTTTATGGTCAGAACTTGATTGACATTGTGTCACTACTTTTTTTAATTTTTTTTATTTCTGAAATATGTACACTCTGTATATATATATATATATATATATACATGCATCTTGTATGAAGTGGCACCCACTTAATCAACGTAAATGTGACCCCCTCGTATAAAAAACCAATTTTAAAACTTGACATTGTGGCACCACCAAAAATCATGATCAAGTAGCACCCTTCACGTATAAACTGGTTATAATTATATTCAAACAGGCACCCTCCACTGTTGCCATACTTACGGGTGCCATATTGAAGATATACAATTTAATATAATTTTATTTAGTAATATTCATATCTGAAAAATGTTGATTACCTAAAACAAATATGTTGAAATACTCTATTTTATATTATTCTGCATCATAATTCGAAAATTATAATAATATTAGCTTTATTGAGATAAAATGGAGTGCGTAAAATAAGTTTTATAATGCAACTCCATTGAAAATTCGATTTTAGGGGCGCAAATGGAAGAAATTAAGGTTAGAATTTTTTTTAAAGATGTCAGGAATAATTACCATTAATATTTTTGTATTTGTCTTTTAAGAATTTAAAAATCTCTCACTACAACGCGGTACTGCGGGAGCGGCGGTACGAACAAAATTTTTGTTTATTAATTATAAATTCACATTAATGTGAGAGCGAAAAATTTGACTTTTTTTATTTAATAAGTACCTACCAAAATATGTTTACCAAAGGTAGTAAAATTTAGATTCATGCACCACAGTGCCTGTCATTTATAAGTGCTTGAGAATTTTTATTACTTTTTTTCGTGTAAGTACATGGAAAAAAAATTAAATCAAAAATATACATTCATTATTTTAATTTTTTATTAAATTAATTTCAAGAATATTTTTTAATTATTTTTTGTACATGTACTTATAGTTTTTTAATGTTCCAAAATAAATCCTTGTAAGCAGCAAGTTATGTTGTACAATATTTCCTTTTTTGTACCAATGATCATAGAAAAATTAATATTTTAATTATTTTATTTGGGGCCCAACAAAATTATCTCATTATTATTATTAAAATAAAGATAAAAATAACTACTCAAAAGAAAATGGGTAAGTTGGGTAAAGGTACAACATACAAAAAGTGTCTGCATGATCTAGCAATAAGTTTGTCATATTGTCCATAAAGAATAAACCAGTTCATCAAAACTTTATTTGAATAGTGATTTTTCTTCATTTTAATTATTTTATTAACAATTTTTATTAAATTAATGAATTTCTAACTATATTAGTAAATAATAATATAACCTTTTAATGAAGGCACCGGGCGTTCAATTAAACCGTTTATACATATACTTATCGACATATTTACTTTAGACCGAAAAAAAAATATATTAATTTATTATTTTCTTGTCATATGAAAACATAAAGTTATTAAAACTTATTCGTAGATTTCACTTGTATTGTTTAATAATTTAAAATTAATATTTAAAAATTTGAAATAATAAATAATAGGAATTGTAAAATATCTTTGTTATTATTAACTTTAGGGAATGGTTATATCAATGAAAAGGTATTATAATTTCATATTAAATTATGTAAAAATATACAGGGCGTTCCGTTAAAAATTAAAAACTTATTGCTGTTTTAAGTTATCTACATTCACATTGCTTTTTATCAAGTATCTTTTAAGAAATATTACAATAAATACAACCGAATATCATCAAACCTAATATTAAAAAAAATATAAGATTTTTTTGTTGAGGGTGAAACTGACCGAATTTTACGAAACGAACTATTAAGTTTTGGTATAGAACATGATATAGGTAGTCATTTTATAAGGAATAATATTAAGAAATAAAAAATGTAAAAAAATTGTGATGATTCATTTAAAATAACAAAGTTGATATCGCTTCCGTTAAAACCGGAAGTGGAATTTTGTTCCAAATAATTTAGAAAAATAGTTTTAATGATAATATTATTATAATTGCTTTAAAAAATTTAATTTGATATCTTTTTCCGTTTTCCATAAATATGTAACCTACCATCGACCCTGATACACCCTGTATAATATTTTAATTCCCTTTCTAACTAAAAAATGAAAAAAAACATCAACAGTATTTTTTTATACTAACGTCAGTAGGCCAGTTATGTTTTGCATTTAGGTAATTTAAACTGTTATGAATCATACCAAAAGTTTTGGTAATTTTGGGGCCGAGCGGTGGCCGAATGTTTGGTGCTCATAAGTTTAATTTTTAAAACAAAAAGTAACTTATTTTGATAAAGAGAAAGAACAAAATATTTTTTAATGTTTTTCAGATGCAGGTTTAAAAAATGTTTACGATTTTTCCTCATCGGAAGAATCTGATCCTTACAAAACAGATGGAAGCGAAGATGAATACATACCATCTAGCGAAAATAGTAGTGAATATGTATGTAATTTTATTTTAAATCTGCTGCCTTAATTTTATATTCCTAAACAAGTGCAGAAGGAGTTTTTTTACGAATGTGAAGACAAGCCATAGGCGAGTTTTGCAATAACATAACTAAAAAAAACCCTCTGCACAATTTAAAGAAAAATATAGACTTTTTCCATTGAGAAAATCGAAGATGAAGCCATGGAGAAAATATCATAATAGGTTCAGCTATGGAAACTTGCTGAGAAATACTGTCCTAAAATAATTTTTATCATTTGTAATTTTATTATATAATGGTAATTTGTAAATTTTAACACAATGTAAAAGCCTTCTGCTAAATTTTTTAACTTCTTCACTTTATTTTAAAATATATATACAGTGTGTCCCGCTTAAGACCTTACCACCTTCGTAAAATTTGTATTTTTTAACCGATTTTTGTAAACTTTTTTTGTTGGATAGATCTCTGGAAAAGGATTTAAACGCATATGTCACTGGTTTTAAAGACTAAACTGTGATCTCTTTTTTAGTACTACCTACTAGGGATTTTTTTAGAGCAAAAGTTACAACGAATTTTTATTCGGGACCACTAAAACCGAAATTTCGACCCAAAACAGACATCACAGTTGTCGTCAAAACAAGAGGATGGTAGGTTTTAAGTGGGACACTGTGTATATATTTATAGAAATACTAATAAATGGACTTACGATAAATTTTTACGATTTAAAAATGCCTATTTTTTTTGTGATACAAGAAAAAAGTTTTTCCTAAAACCATGGAAAAAATAACATCTATGTGAAAACAAAATTTCGATTGCGTTAACCGTACACCAAATTCGAATGCATACCACTTTCCTGCAAAGAATAAAACAATTTCTATTTTCCACCATCAAAGATGAAATAGATTGAAGTCCCTAGAAATACAAATAACAAAAAACGTTTAAACATCCGAAAGCAAGTGATTTTGATATAAATTTAAAACGTGAATGCAAATCAGCCTTATCAGAATCATATTCTTAATATTTCTTGCGTAAATTATTATTATATCTAACAAATTCTCCAAAAAAGTAATGATTTGTTATGTTTATTATACTTAATAAACCTAATACATCATCACTTATTTTGAAGACTATATAATTATAGGATCTTAGAATAAAGAATGAACCAAAACAATATTTAAAATCAAAATTCCCGCCAGCCGCTTCTCGCTGCCCTCCGGACACGGCCGAATACTTCCGAGGTTTCCGTGATAATTAGTGTCGTCTGTTACACACGAGGTTTTAAAGTTTCTTCCACTGTTGCCAAATTTAGGGTGCCATAATGTAAAGGCATATTATGGGTGCCAAAAGTTTAACAATTATAATGAGTGTATAAAATATATACATCTGTATAAAAAAGAGCGCCATCTATAATAAACTTCGCAAACTAAACTGTATATCCGGGAGTAATCTTTGTCAAAGTGGCACCCTTCAAATTTTTTGTTATATGGTTTAGAAGGACCCTACCTTCATTGGAAAAAATTTTGAAGGCAAAACAAAGTGGCACCCGAAACCGGGTGCCACATTGTAAAATTGGGAGTCACATTGACAATGTTTATACCATATGGGTGCCTAAATGACACTGTCTATCTATATATATATATATATATATATATATATATACAGAGTGTTTCACATTCGTGGTCCATTAGAAGTTTCTGGGGATCAAAAAAATATATCGATTTTAAATTTTAAAAGAGTTTGAAATCCATTTAAGTGTATTTTTCTAAAAAAATTTAAACAAAATGCTACTTCCGGAAGTGTCATTAACTTTGTTATTTTAAATGAACACCCCATATAATTTTACATTTTTAAATTCTACAAAAAGTTCTGAGTAATATTACTATACCATGTCCTATCCCTGCTTACCCCATAGACCTATAAAATAAAATAATCTATCGGGCGCTACCGGATTCAATATGTGCATTTGTCCATGGTTTTTTCCGGATACGGCCGGATAGAAAATTTATAGGAAATTGCTTATAGGCACACCATAACTTTTACATTTTCCCTATTGAGACTAATAGCAAATAACTTAATGAAGGATATATATGGATATCCCTATAAAACAACCATAAAACATTTGACAAAATGTTATTAAAACCTATGGGATCCTACATTTAAAGTATTTTCCCCATTGAAACCAATAGCAAATAAATCAAGGGTGGATATCCCTATAGAATAACCATAAATCCCAACTATGGGTCCTATACATACCGATACACCCTATAGAAACACCATACATTCCGATACAAATAGCTATCGGTTTGAACAGGGTCTCTATGGGGTACCTATGGGATACCTAAAGTAAATAGTTTTCGAGTAAATAATTTTTGTTGTTAAAATTTGAGAAATGCGCGTCATTGTTATTAGGTTTGCAAATATGGGGTTGGAATTTTTAAAATCGTAAAACATTATTTAAAAGATTCCATATCAATTCTTGTACATTTTTCAACGATTTACCTGAGAAAACCCAGGGCAAATTAGGATAACTTGAAAGGTTAATAACTTTTTTATTTTAAATGTAACACCTGGTATGTTTTTACCTAATAAAATAGTAAATTAAAAAACTGTTACTATTCCCTATACCCAAAGTTAATAACTTCAGAGATATTTAACAATTTCTAAAATTTTAAATATTATTTTGTATTAAGAAACCTGTGACGGGTGAGTTCACGGTATCTATGGTTACCACGTAATTTGTCATTGTTTAAAATTTAATGGCGTCAACTTTTCAGGTTCTTGTAAACAATTTGTTATCTAATTAAGTGTTTTGTAAACAATATTACTGATAAAAAATAGCAGTCAGTGACCTATAAAAACATGGACAAGCTAAACAGCTCATTGGAGACAATAAAATATAAAAATTTTTTGATGAAATATTTTAATAACAAAAAAATGCGTAACTGTTACAATTTAATAAACCAACAATATTTTAATTATCAACTTTTATTACTAATTTATTACTAAATGTTCAAAGTGTCCTCTATTTACATTCAAGCATTTCTTAATTCTTACTTCTACATTAGACGTTGCTCTTCTTGACTGACTGCTATTTTTTTGTCAGTAGGTAATTTTGTTTACAAAAATTTAAGTTAGTCAACAAATTGTTTATAACAACCTGAAAAATTGACGCCATTAAATTTTGAACAATGACAGATTACGTGGTAACCATATACCGTCAACTTACCCATCACAGGTTTATTGATACAAAATAATATTTAAAATTTTAGAAATTGTTAAATATCTCTGAAATTATTAACTTTAGGTATAGGGACTAGTTACGTCAATTGAAAGGTTTTTTAATTTACTATTTGATTATGTAAAAACATACCGGGTGTTACATTTCAAATAAAAAGTTATTAACCTTTCAAGTTGGCCTAATTTGCCCTGTTTTTTTTAGGTAATTTGTTAAAAAATGTTAAAGAATTGATATTGAATCTTTTAAACAATGTTTTAAGATTCCAAAAATTCCAACCCTATATTTGCAAACCTAATAGCAAAAAAGGCTATTTTTGATTGACGAGCATTTATTAAATTTTAACGAAAAAAAAAACAACTCGAAAAATATTCACATTAGCTATAGGACATGGTATAGTAATTTTACTCAGAATTTGATGTTGAATTTAAAAATGTAAAAATATATAGAGTGTTTAATTTAAAATAACAAAGTTGATGTCACTTCCGGTTAAACCGGAAATGGATTATAAACGATATTTTTTCGTTCCCCAGAAACTTCTGATGGACCAAGAATATGAAACACCCTGTATATATATATACATTTTTAGACAAATTTTACACTAATAAGCAAAACAAATGTTGTACAAATAAGCGCACGATACAAATTGTATGTAATTTGCAAATTATTTTTATAAATTTTAATTTGTGTCAGCTGTGTTTCAAGGGACCTTTTAAAAATATTTAATATTAAAGTTTAAAAGTATTTAAATATTAAAACAACTTAATTAATAATATAAAATGTCGTAGCTGATGGAACAGAATGGAGTAAAGCCTGATGAGACGGATAAATTTGAACAGGCTAATATAAAACTAAAAGAAGCAGAACGTTGTTTGGCCACCACAAAGAAAGAAGTTCAAACCTACCAAAACATGCTTGAACAATCTCAAACACAATATTTGACGCTGGAAAAAAAATATAGTAAAGCAAAACAATTGGTCAGGGAGTTCCAGCAAAGAGAGCTGGATATGTTGCATAGAGAAGACTTTTACCAACAGCTCTTGCAAGAGAAGGATACTGAATATAACGCATTGGTAAAAAATCTGAAAGATAGAATTATAGCTTTGGAACAAGACTTACTAGATACTCAAAGAAAGGCTGGTATGCCAATGGTGCTTCCTTATGATAGTATTAACTTAAAACAATTAACGCCCCAAATGTCTCGAAGACAACCCCCAAAACCTGTATATAATCCCCTAGAGACTGATTTCTCTGATACTGAAATATCTGACGCTAGTCCCGACGATGATAAAACAGCGACGGTAGAAAGGAAGGTTCCTATAAAAGAAGAATTCGATAGAGCAGTGCCACCACACGAACTTTTGGACATTTCAGCAAATAAGAGCAAGGCAGAGTTGGCGACCAGGAGTGCCCTAGCAAATAGGCAATTGCCGAGCGCCAAGAAAGGATCGCTTAGCAATAGCAGTTCTGACTATGGCCTGGATGAAAGCTACAATTCCGCTGACGAAATGACTGATTCCGCTTACTCACAAAGCGATTACGCACCAAAATCGTCTAGCAGCACACGACCAAGCACACTTAACACCAACTCTTACTTAGTTCAATCGCAAAGTCAACAGTCACAAAACTCACAATACACAGTGCAATACAGTCAAATACAAAAGTCCAGTCAGATCTCAAATCAAATCACACAAAACAATTCCAGTGTAGTTTATGCCAAGGTGTTCAAGGAATCCAACAATTTTCAGCAGCCCAGCCCAGATCCTTGGGGAGATACCCCAAATAAGACTGTTAATCCCGGAATTGGAGGAATTCCTGCAACTTTATCGGAACAACTTAAACAGGTGTGTTAATGATATATAATAAATTAAACTGGTCAATAAATTTAAACTAAAGTTTTTTTCTTATAAATATATAAAAAGGATAGTTTGTTTGTTTAAACTTTTTTTACGTTTACTTAAAAATAAGAATATTTGAATTTTTAATAATAGTTATATAAAAACATGCTAAAAAGTATAGTAATTGGACATTTTATATTGGACACATGGAACATAGTTATTGGACACATATAAACATAACAACTTTACATAAAATAACATAATATGTCCAATATTTTTTAAGATAAAGTGCTGTTTTAGGTAATTTTTTTTCTTCGTTTTTGTAAATATCATATAATTCATATATTACTTTCTCGGATTCCTCATCTCGTTTTGCATCGTTTTTGTAAGTATCATATAATTTATCTATTTTTTTCTCGGATTCTTTACTTCCATTAGAATTATCATTATCATTACTTTCTTTGTAACATGATGACATAAAAATATATCATCTTCCAATTCTTCCGGTATATGTTCTTGAAATTTAGTACAATGTAAACCTTTACTTTTCATTGATTAACAGGTAGGTTTGTTTTCTTTTTGTTTGCATTTTTTTTAACTATATCCTGCTTTTTTTCTTCGCGTTTTCTTTTTTTTTTCATCCTTTTGCTTGTCTTTTTCTTTTAGCAAACGTTTTCTTTTATGCATTTTTTGATATTCTCTAGAAGTGATAGCAATTAGAAATCTTTGAATTTTTCTTTCCCTTACGACGACATATTTCCCGTGGAAACCTGAAGCAGAACATATCTATCTATCTATCTATCTATCTATCTATCTATATAGATAGTTAAATAGATAGATATATATGTTCTGCTTCAGGTTTCCACGGGCGTTATATGTATTAGTGGTTTTTCGGGATCTGCTCCGTGTTGTCGGTACAATCTCATGTACTATCTTCAGGTCTTATGCTGTTGCTGCTCTACTGCGAGTTAGACGTGGTGTGAGCTCCGTTGCCGCTGCAGCGCGCTGATCGTTGTTTATATACCCTCTTAGCTTCCCGCGTCATTAACCGTGACTGCTATTGAACCTTTGTTATGTTCGGCTCCATTGATCTCGTTAATCTGCGTGGCGTTTTGGTGGTTGTAAGAGCTGGTTTCCATGCAGTTGGTAGTCTCTGTGTATCGTCTCTTGTGTTGAGGTTTCTTGGACGTTTTTCTATTTCAATTCCTTCACGGATGGTACGTTTTGTCCTGTGTTCGATGCTAGCCAAGACCCTTGTTTTTTCAAAGTCAATTTCATGGGAAGTTTTTCGGACGTGTTCAGCTAAGGCAGCTAGCCGTGGAGCAAACGTTTATGTTATTGGAGAGTTGTTTTTTTCAAAGTCAATTTCATCGGAAGTTGTTCGGACTTTTACAGCTAAGGAAGATGTTTTTTCTTGTTTCAAGACTGCGTTACGATGTTCTTCGCATCGAACGTTGATACGTCTATTGGTCTGTCCCACCTAGCTTCCGTCACAATTCTTACAAGGAATTTCGTAAACCCCTTGTGCCTCCAACTCTATTTTTGGTTTGGCGTTTGGAAGTATTTGACTGATCTTTCTTGGGGCGGTAAATGTGGTCTCAATGTTATGTTTTTTGAGAACCTTGTCTATTCTTTCTTTGTCCCTTTGACGTAGGGAAGAAAGGCCTTCGAAGTTGGTTTGTTGTTCTCGTCCTCTGTGCTATTTAACCGGCGCCTTTTTTATGATGGTTTTGGAGAATCCGTAATGTTGTAGCGTCGTTTGGATTTTTAGGTCTTCTTATGTCTTGTGTTCATTATCCGCCAGCTTTTCTGATCGCGTTACAGGTGTCTTAATAACTGGAGTTGTGACGGGTGGTGGTGAGACTGGGCGTTGAGTTAGCGGTCCGTGTGTGTTGGTTTTCTGTAGACCGTATGCCCTAGTTTGCCATTATTTTTCAGAAAAGGTAATTGGTGTTCTTTCTCGGTTTCCATTGTGAACTTGATCTTTTTGTGAATTCCGTTGAGATGGACCAGGAATTTTTTCAGTTCCGCTTCTCCGTGGGTCCAGATGATAAATGTGGGTTTTAGGGTTGCCGTTTCGATTGCTCGTACTTCTATGTCTTAAATGAATAAGTTGGCTATTGCTGGCGATATTGGGGAGCCCATTGGAGCACCCTCGATTTGTTTGTATCTCTGGTTGTATATGAAATACGTGTTCTTGAGGCAGTGTTTGGTTAGCTTTGCGATGTCATCACTTATTGGGTGTTTTTTTGAATTGTCTCCAAGGCTTCGCTGACTGGAATATTTGTAAAGAGAGATACGACATCGAAGCTGATATTTTTTCGAGAAGTGGTGCAAACTTTACTTTATACAAACTGTCGCCATGCCATTTTTGGTCTAAATACCGATACATCGGCCGGTTGAAGAATTCTTGTGGCGTTTGGATAGAGATGACCTCAATTTTTAACTGATTGCACAACACACTTAGTTCGTAACTTAACTAGGACTTACGACCGTCCACAAACAGGATTACTGTTTTAATAAATTATAGTTATTAGACACTAAAAAATACAGTTATTGGACACCTGTCCAATAACCATTCAAACCCAACCAAAGATTCTTTGTGAAGAAAATTAAATAACACTATTATTATTTATCTAAGTATTAATACAATAAAAATGATGATTTAAGGAATAAAGTTATTGGACATATGTCCAATAATAGAAATTTACATTTTTTACCAACCTGGCCATTTTACTGTTTGTTTTCAGAATTAAAATTAAAACGCATTAAAGTGACAATGTTTAAACAATGAGGAACACATTTATACCACACCCTGATAGGTACACTTTTTATAAATATTTTTTATTGTAATTTGCACACAGCCCTGCTCTTAACAAAAAAACAAAAATCTTACCCACCAAAGTAACGTGCGAACTTGTTTGTCCTATATTGGACCCAACAAAAAAGTAGTTATATATTATTACCGACCAAGATTTTTATAAATGTATTCAGCGCCATCTAATGATTTGACTTTAAGGTAACTATTTATAGAACTCTTGTTTTTACAGTATTAATGTTAATTGTCCAATAACTTAAAAGTGTCCGAGAGGGTTTTATTATTAAATCTACTTTGAGGGAAAATCGGTGAAATCTGGTTTAAAATTGGTCAACCCAAATTTTTGGTACAGTGTAATATATAATTTATATTAATTAAATTTTTTGATTAAAAAATTTTAATCAATCAATATTACCTGACTAAAAGTGATATTTATTTCTAATTCTTAAAAAGGTATTGGCTGATAGAGAAAAACGTCTGGGAAACGAGAGCATCAACAGTTCAACGGACGAATTGGATGACAAAAATGCAGCAGCTCAGCATCTTTTGGAGGAAATCCGACAGGCAGTGAATGAGGCAAATGCCAAAGGTAATTTTGTCGTCTGCTTTTAGCTTATCTTGCGTGTTAATAGTCGTCTCTTTGTGTTGTAGTTAAGAAAGTTGTTCCTGTCACGTTATCGCCCCCAGGTAGCACCCCCTGGCAGCATCTGGGATCCACTTCACCCACTCCCCCGTCTCCTTCTAGTTTGTCTTCTGGTTCGGTATCTCCTTCGAGGCACGACACTTCCTGGGCCACAACTGATCTCAGTTTGTCATCCTGCAGCATAAGCAGCGATAAAAGAAGCTCGCATTTTTGGCAGAGCGCGCCTGTTACAGAATGGAACAAAGATCAGGTATTTAATATTATAAATTTTATATTGCTTGAATTTTATTTTTATAAATTTTATTTATTTATATATTAAATTTAATTCAATCCACAAGAAATCATGTTAGAGATTTGTTCAGAGGACCATCCACTTAAGTTGCCATTTGGCTAAAAAATGGTTTTGAGCTTAATTATCTTATTCCTTTAACTAAAGCGCCTCATTTAGGTTAAACGTTTCCATGGCAACTGGGGTTAACACGAAGAAATTGGATTTGTGAAAATGCTCCCTTTAAAAACATGTTATTATTACTTTTCTTATTAAATTTGGTCCTGCAATTTTTTCCTTTCCTGTTTTTCCTGATAGACCAGGAAGTAGTATAACACATTTTATTTTTTATTTATTTAATACCATGCTGCCTCTTGGAGGACCAAATATTTGCGAAACTTGTGTACGATAAAAGCAATAAAAAATGCCTTGTAACGCTTGTAGGACGTTATCTAGAAAATTAAGGAGAATAGAAATAGAAATAAGACATAAAAACGATTTATACCAGGCTGTCAGTTTCAACTTGGCATCTCAATTCTTTTTAATTGTTCATTTTAGTTACTTCATTCATACCAGTATGTCATGAACAAACAAACTGGCTGGCACTTGTTTTTTATGAATAATTTGACTTGAACTAAAAATTTACTTTTAAAAATTAGCATAGCTCTTAGCGGCAATAAACCAATAAAACATCAAACGAAAAACCAATTGAAGGGATTAGAGCTGAAACCGCCCAAGTGCATTTTTAAGTCAAAACTTTTTAAGCGTGTTACTGGATAGTATAACATTTTGACTTAAAAATGCACTTGTGTGGTTGAGCTTTTCCCTTCAATTAATAGCTATTTTCGCGGAGCTAATCCCGAACTAATTCCGGACATCCTAGGCATGCGCTTTTTAAAATTTGGCGTTCAAATTGTAAAGTGCGCATGACAAATATTAAAATGCGCATGCCTAGGATGTCCGAACTAGTTCGGAATTAGCACCGCGAAAACAGCTAATATAGAAATTAACTTTTAAGAAAAAATCACACATAATTTTTCCCTGCTTTAGCGGAAGCTCTTTTCCAACATCCTTCTCTATTGAAAATATAGCCAAATCCACTAGTCGTTCTTGGCACATACCTTCTTGATCTTAAATATTTTTTTATTAATTTTAATTTTAAAAAACTCTTTTCCCGGCGTAATAATAATTGTTTTAAACAACGGATAAAGGCAACTTCAAATAAACATTTAGCAACATTGAGCTGAATGATAATAGATGACGATACCTACTAAAGATATGATCTCTCTCAATGATCAGACACGCGCGGGGCCTATAAAACGCGGGGCCGGGTGCAACCGCACCGTTTGCACATGCCTCACGCCGGCACTGACTTGAACAATATTTTATATCTTTTACAGCCTGGTATGAATAGTTTTTTAATCGTTTTTTAACGTTTTCAAGTTACAGCCAGGTAGGTACCTACAAGTTAAAACTGGCTGCCATTAATTTTTCGATAGATTTATTTTTTATAAATTTTCGAAAACTTTAATGTCACCCTTGCATGAATCGTTTTTTATGTCTCATTTTCAATACATTTTCTAGAGAATGCCCTACATGGGCTACAAGGTAGCGGGTTTATTATTGCTTTTATCGTACCTAAATGGCGCAAATATTTGGTCCTCCTATATATATATATATATATATATACCTCTTGGTCTAAGGCGTTGATCTCGTTCTTGACCTCGTTTGCTTGCACTTTTTCGATATATATATATATATATTTACATATGTATAGGTATATTTATTCTTGCTCTTATTCCAAAACCCTATTGCAAAGGAATTATATATTTTGTAATATCATACAAAAAAAAATAATTAAATAAATAAGACATATTTTTTTTAAAGGTCTGCCAGTGGTTGCGTCAAATCGGTCTTGAGCAACATATCTCCAAGTTCGCAGAGTTACAAGTTAACGGCAACTCTTTGCTATTATTAACATCGGCGGATTATAAAATATTAGGTATTACTAGTGATGATAAGAGTCGCCTTAAACGTAAAATTAAAGAGTTAAAAGTCATAGCGGAAAAGGAGCGAAAGCAGCTGGAGAAAGACCGCAAGGAGAAGGAGAAGCTTCAGAGAAAAGCCGATAAGGCGAATAAGAAAAAATAAGTTTGTTGGATTGTTAAAAGGATGTTCTTGCCCCGGCCTACATGGGTTTGTTGATTGATTTATTTATTATGAAAATTGGCACCTAATGAGGTGTCAAGTCCAGCCATATGGTTTAGATAAATAAGTATTCAATATAACAATGAAACATGTAGCAGTGTCTAAGATTGATGTCTATAATCTTAGGTAAATGTGCTACACACGTTTAAACAATTATTTATACTTGCGAAATCTTTTTAGAAAAATGTACTATAAATCGTGCTCGTGTTAGAATAGAACATTGTATATCTTCTTAAAAACATACATATATAAACTTTTAAGTGGTTTGACTCTACATAAAATATAGCCTTTAAATTATTTTTAGCGTGAAAATATCCTGAAATAATACTGCATCAAAGTCTAATAAATATGTGCATAAAGCCAAAACCGTAATTATTTTATGCTCCCAACTCAGAAAAACAATTGCAATCTAATTTTGATTCACTATAACTTATATTTCTTAACTGGTAATTTGTATTTATTTTAAATGGTGTTTATTCTAATTTAATTAACATTTTTTTAAATTAGTCGTATTATTGTTTTGAAATGTAACTTGTAAGATTGCACTTTTTATAATTTAGTTGAAGTTTTATCAGGATATTTTATACATCAATAAAATACATAAGTACTTAAATTAAACTGACTGACTATAATTTATGTTAACAAACTACTTATTTTCTCCATTGTTCTATTATTCTTTGTACTTACATATTTTATCATTTTGTCAAGTTCCTTAAATTAAATATTCACAACAGTTTATATGTTGTTCCCTTTTAAAAATTGATTAAATGTTTATTTTGTGATACATTTAAGGGACATTTTTAAAATTTTATTAATACCTAAATATTTATTAAAAATATGTGATTGTTGTAAGATATAAGCTATTTTTATTTATTATTTTAATGTTACTGTACTGTATTGTTTTATTTTATTTTTCAGTATTTATGTATTTATTGTAATAGGTTTGTCTATTTCATTTATAATTTTTAATATCCATTATAGTACAAACTGAAATAATCAAACTTTACAGAAATTCCTTCCTATAGTTTTTGGTTTTTGTTTGAGTCCAGTTGACTAAGTTCTTTTCCTACTTTTATTTACTTTCTGCTTAATCAGTTAACTGATTTGTCATTTTGTATGGAACCTTTATAAAGATCGCCTATTTGTGATTTGTTTTTAATCTTTTGTAATAAAATTATAAATATGATGTAGATTCACAAAATAAATAATTACAATGTATTTCCTTATTTTATTTTTAAATGGTCAACAATATAAAATGGTAAATTTAAATTTTGTGTTACAAAATTATACCTAAATACTGTTAAAAACAATTATAATGACATTGTATATAAGTTGATACTATATTGGATGGTATACATTAGCCTTTTAAAATATGTACAATAGGCAGTGTTGTAACGTATCTAGTTACAAGTAACTAGATACAGTATCTAGATACTTTTTATGTATCTGTTTGTGTAACTAGTTACTTATCCCAATCTAGTAACTATAACTGTAACTAGTTACAAATTCTAAGTAACTAGGTGTGTTAAGATACAAAGATACATTTTTAATTAAACTGCGACTATTATTTATTAAAAAAAATATTATAAAAAATAGGTAAGTTATTTCAAATAAAATATTATAAAAAAAATAAAAATAATAAACATGTTTATTTTTGTTGTCACTTTAAAATTCCCTTTTATTTCTATTTTAAATTTTTTAAAGCAAAAAATAATTTGTATGTATCTTAAAGTATCTAGATACTTTTTGAAGGTAACTGTATCTGTAACTAGTTACTGCAATAAAATATGTACCTGTATCTGTATCTAGTTACAAATTTTGGTAAGTAACTGTAACTGTAGCTAGATACTGAAAATATTGTAACTGTTACAACACTGACAATAGGATAACACAGAGGTTCATGAAATTTGATGTTTAATTTTTAAGGTGGTTTCTATAGTACCTACCTACTTGTTTGTCTGTTGGAATTTTTTTCTTACCACATTTAGTTTTTTTCTGCACATTCGTCATTCCTGTGTAACGGAGATTACGTTTTTACAAAAAAATAGCTTTTCATTCAGACAAACATTTGACATTTTTTGACTTACTAGCAAATCATGACCATTTAGCTAAAACTTTGAGTAAACATTTCATAAAAAAATAATTAATCCAACTGTTGGATGGCAGTTGGTGCATTTTGGGCACACCTATATACCAGTTATTAGACATGGGACCCACATCAAATTTATATGAGTTTATAATGACATTATATAAACAAGTTCTGCGCAACTAGAATTTAAATTGAAGTTTGCGACAAAAAGTTAGTCTTTAAGTGTGCCCCCCCAGCCTCCTGCCCCCTCAAATTAAGATAATTCAAATTAAATTGGTACAATATTTAATTGACTGAAGTTTATCGACAAATTTCAAATTTTATTTTTTTAAATTTTTCGATAAACTTTAGTGAATTAAATATTGTACCACTTTAATTTAAATTATCTTTATTTGGGGGGGGGGGCAGGAGGCTGGGGGGCACAATTAAAAATTAATTTTTTTTCGCAAACTTCAATTTAAATTCTGCTTTCGCAGAACTTTTCTATATAATGTCATTATAAACTCATATAAATTTGATGTTGGTCCCATGTCTAATAACTGAATTATGGGTGTGCCCAAAATCCACCAGTCGCCACTTTATTTAGTTGCGGATATGTTGGATTCCAACATATCCCCAACTAAATAAAAATACAGAGACTTAGTTTCCGTTAATTAATTAAACTTGGGCATTGATTAATATGTATACACCTCACTCAACGAAACAAAAACGTTGATAGTATTTTTAAAACAAAATCAAGGTAAGGGAGGTTACGTACCATACGAAAAATATATTTTGAGCTGTATAGCGGAAAATGATTTTTTAAGTGTACAAATTTGGTGCAAGTTCTTTAATAAGAGTTATTTTTATTAAATATGATTTTTTTATATTTGTTCCCTAATTTAAGAAGTTAAAAAGCGATTTTTAAAAAATTGTGCGTGATTGACAAACTGATATTTGACTTCACGTGAAAAAATACGAATCTTAGTTTGTTCAATCATTGGTAAACATTTTTTTAAGCCTGTATAGACCATGTTGCGGTTGCCGACTTTTTCACATCCGCGGATGTGAATGCGGATGCGGATTTTTTAAGGCTTACATCCGCGCATGCGGATGAGGATGCAGATGTTTAAGATCTTATATAAATATAGTATATGAATGAAGAATTAAAACAATAAAATAATTATCAACATTTTTATTACCCTGCTTAAAATACCCCATAGAGACCCTGTTAAAACCGATAGATATTTGTATCAGAATGTATGGTGTTTCTATAGGGTGTATTGGTATGTATAGGACCCATAGTTGGGATTTATGGTTGTTCTATAGGGATATCCACCCTTGATTTATTTGCTATTGGTTTCAATGGGGAAAATACACATAAATATAGAAATTAGTATTTCCCCCATAGGACCCCATAGGTTTTAATAAAATGTTGTCAAATGTTTTATGGTTGTTCTATAGGGATATCCATATATATCCTTCATTGAATTATTTGCTATCAGTCTCTATCATGATACAACATGTTGTATCATGAGTCTCTATAGGGAAAATGTAAAAGTTATGGTGTGCCTATAGGTAATTTCCTATACATTTTCTATCTGGCCGTATCCCAAAAAAAACCATGGACAAATGCACATATTGAATGCGGTAGCGCCCGATAGATTATTTTGTATAGGTCTCTATGGGGTATTTTAAGCAGGGTAATGAAAATTAGTATCAAGTATAATGCTATTTTTTTTAACTTCACTTACTAATTTTAATATTAGTAACCCAGCTAGCACAAGTCTGTCCTAAGGACGTCCTAAGGAAAGCCTTACAGGATATTGGGATATCCCAAGGATATCCTAGGACGTCCTTAGACCTCCTCAGGACATCCCAACCATGGCCGAGTGGTGCAAAAAAGGCCAGCCTACAGACGTCCCGCAAATGGCCTTTAGGATATCCTAGGGATATCCCTAGGTCCATATAGGTCCAGGAATAGGACATCCTAAGGATGTCCCCTGAAAGTCCCATGGGTATATGTAGGTCCAGGAATGGGATGTCCTGAGGACATTCTTTGAATGGCCTTGTTATTTGTTGGGGATACATTTTAAACAATCAAATACCATTTTATTACTTTATAAAATGTATTATTTTAATTCTGTACACAGCCAATTATATAAAATAAAAAATAAACACCTATTATAAAAGTAAAATAAATAATAATTCTAAATAAATATAATAGTTATATTATTTATATGTATATAGGTACACAGTGTCCAAAGTTATCTGCTCACCATTTTAACTCCATTATTATTGCAGCTTAAAAGTCGGTTAAATTAGCAAATTAGTGGCATTTTTTCTTCTGATTAAAATGGTTAAGACAGAATAACAATTGAACATCAGGTTTCTGAAGTAATTACAAAAATAACATTTTATTAAATGAAAAGACAACTTAATATGGAACAAAAAATTATTATAGCATAACTACCCTAAACTTAAAAATAAACAATTAATAAGCACTGGAACTTTCCGATTGTTGAAATATCCAACACTATAATAATATTATATTATAACAAACACACTTAGAGAACACGAGATTCACGGCCTTAAACCAGGTTCACGACACAGACAAGGAATTAATTCCTTTCACAGTGTTATCTATGATTCTTTCTAACAAAAAGGCGCAAAACAACTAAAGGACGCTATACGACATCTTAGCTTTCTCTCCATCCAGTGTTACCACCATAGACAATGGTTACCACCATAACGTATGGCGGCAAATTTAAAACAATCGGTAACTATTAAATAAGTTATAGATTGCGTTTGTAATTACATTTTTAAGGTTAACTGACGCTTACTACCTTATTTATTATTTATAAAACTCTAAATGTATCAATACCTTACAAACAAGGTGTTTGAACAATTATTAATTATCAGCCGTCATTTCTGCACATGCGTATTAAGTTGGCTGCTATCCAGTTGTATACAAAATATATTTTGTGGTCATATAACAAATACACAAAATATAATATTGTTTTTAAACTCCCGCCTTTAAAACGCCGATTATCGTACATGTTTCCATGATATTTTAAATTTACATTGACAAGTTGTGGCTTTTTGGCGTTTTAGTCACGGGCTGAAGTTGGCAGCAATGGCATTCGGACTTCTTAGTCATGGGTTGAAGTTAATTGCAGTTGTCAACTGCGAAACAATGACTATCAAAATAAAGGGTCTAAAAAGTGAGGTTAGAATAGACTGGTCGATGTCAGATTTTATAAATAATTATTTATATATAATTGTTGAAAGTTATTTAATTTTTGTGATTGTCGTAGAAAAAATATAGTATGCAAATCATTTATAAACTTAAAAAAATCTATAATATAATATTATAATTATATTGATTGACATTTTTAAGATGTGCCTATGCAAAATAGTTATGTACAAAAATGTAGGTATTATTAATTATATGGATAAAATATTCTTATAGAAAAATGTGCATACCAAATGTTTACCAAAACCTAACGGGACATTCTGAGGATGTCTCTGGGATTAGTCCTATGATCAACTCATTTTAGGCTTTAATTAGGATATTATTAGGTCCTAACGACATCCTTAAATGACGTTCCTAGGATATCCCAAAATGGGAATAAAAAAGATCTAATGTCCGATAAGGTCAACTTATGGACGTCCTCATGAAGTCCTTATAGGATCATCCCATTCTGGGACATTTAGGCTGGTCCAAGGACGTCCTGAGGATGTTTGTGCTTGCTGGGAAGTGAAGTTAAAAGTAGGAGCATTATACTTAATAAAGAGTAATAATGCCGCCTTTTCTGATTCAAGGTGGTTACGTCGGTGGCCTTGTATAACATTCGCATCCGCATTGATTATTGCGGATGCGGATGCAGATGTCCAAATCTATGCGGAAGCTCCACATTTGCGGATGCGAATATTCGCAACATCCCTGGTATAGACTGTAAAGCAGTCTGCAATTCTACGTGCAATACGCAATACTCTTGCATAAAGGCATGCGCAAGCGACGTTTCGTGCAAAATTATTGCTGTTCCAAAATATCGATTTTTACTGCCGGTTGCATGAAAGTCTGGGGGAAAAGTTGGTGACTTTTTTCATAACAATGCTGAAAGAAAGATTACTGCAAAAAAGTCGTAGGCTGTAACTGCAGAACTGTTTACTTTTTTTTTTAATTACATAAAGGTATTTTGACTTTTAAGTCATATTTTCACCCCCCTGCTTTAACCCCTACGACAGTGGCGCTATTACCCTTAAAATCTTAAATGGAAAGGGGGGTCGAGTGGCACCTTGTTTTAATAGGAATTGAATTCCCTTTCCAATGAGACCTTGCTTGTTAAAACCGAGTAAGTAGTAACAAAAAATGTTAACACGACTGCTTGTTCTGTCCTTTTTAATCTTTAGTTACGGATTAAAATGACGTATACTCTTCAAGTAAGAGTTGAAATTATTTCACTTTTCTATAGAAATAACGATTGTGCTAGAGCTGCCGCGCTGTCTTACAATGGGTTACACCCAAATGCACACTTGTCTCATACTTACGTGCGCGCACTAGTGGCAAAATTTCGTGACAGGATCTGTGGCAAACAAAAAAAGAAATATTCAAAATCTGGTAAGAAATGAAGCTGTAGAAGTGGCAGTTTTAGGTCATATTGCAATTGATCCCACACTTAGCACAAGAAAACTGTCAGAAGTATCTGGTGTTTCTCGTAGAACCATCCAACGAATTTTAAAATCATATAATTTTCATCCCTACAAACTAAAACTGGTTCATGAACTTAATGAAGATGATGATGATCGCCGTTCTCAATTTTGCGAGTTAATGACCGAAACAATCATTCGCGATCCACAACTTGGATTTAATATTTGTTTCTCAGATGAATGCTCTTTTTATCTCCATGGTACTGTCAATCGACATAATTTAAGGTATTGGTCGGACTCCAACCCTAGAAATTTCAGAGAAGTACATAAGTACTCAACATCCCGAGAAATTAAATGTGTGGGCTGGTATTTTTGGGGACCGTATTATTGGGCCGCACTTTCTTCCTGGAAATTTAAATGGTGAAGTGTACCTAGATTTGTTAGAAAACACTATTGTCCCGGCTTTAACGAATGCTATTGAAGATGATCGTTATCAGCGAGCAAATGCAATTTTTCAGCAAGATGAAGCACCCCCGCACTATCTGCTTTTTATAAGGCAGTTTCTGGATGCAACTTTTCCAGGCAGAGGATTGGGAGAAGAAGTCCTATTGAATGGCCTCCAAGATCTCCTAATTTGTCGCCGTTAGACTTTTTCTTGTGGGGACATTTAAAATCTAAAATTTATGCAACCCAACCCGATTCTTTGCAAGACTTGCAACAATGAATAGTGTACGAGTGCCGACAAGTAGATAAGTCCCGAAATGCTCCATAATATTCGCGAACATTTCGAACAGTACTGGCTACAAAGGCACGTGCCTTTATCATTGCATGCATGTTGGAGGTGGACATTTTCAACATTTACTGGATTGACACAAGTGGAAATGAATTTTTTTACTTTGTTACTAAAGTAAATAAATGTAAACATTGTTTTTTCCTTTTTAGCCTTATTTCTCTGAAACTACTCACACGATTTTAAAGAGCAAGGTCTTGTGGAAAAGGAATTCAATTCCCTTTAAAACAAGGTGTTATTCGACCCCTCCTTTCATTTAGAATTTTAAGGGTAAATTTTAGCTCCCCTGCTGCAACTCCTACGACGACGGTGGCGCTTTTACCCGGTAAAAGCAAGGCCACCGTCGTCGTAGGGGTTGCAGCAGGGGGGCTAAAAATATAAAAAAAATATGTGCCCCTGAAAACTACAGTTTACGTGTCTGAGCGTAATTTCATTTATTGATTTAGAAAAAAAAATCCTGGGCGCCACCCTGTATATATATATATATATATATATATATATATATACATGAATATTTATCTCATGGCCATAAATATGTAAACTAGAAATACTTTGATAATTCCGAAAAGATATTTTTATACTGAAAAAGGTTACTATCTAAAAAATATAAGTTTTTTCAACTTTAACTTATTATAATAAACCAATAAAAAATGTGTTTTTACGAACGCTAGGTTTCTAACAATAAATTGCTAACGTTAGTAATTTGTTGCGGAATAGTATATTCTGTAACAAGTTTGGAATATGTAATTTCAAACGTGATTCAGATTATACTTTTTCTATTTAATTGGGAAAAAGTGAGGTTGGATCGGTTTAAATTTGTTAGATATTAACACAGAGATGTCGCCACCAGTGTTTATTTCATCATCTGATGATAGAATAATTCATTCTGTAATACTTTCAGGAATATATGCCAATCCATATTCCGTTATAGGATTAGAAAATCGATATTTTCTATCAGGGTTTGATAGTTCATGAAATTAAAACAAAAATAATCTATTTTTTACCAAACCTATTAGTTTAAGGTGTTTTTAATAAGTTGACGTCATCAAATGACTAAACCTTTTAAAAATATTTTATGGGTCCTAATAGGACCGTCCTATACATACCGATACACCCTATAGAAACACCATACAATCCTATACAAAAATATATAGGTTTGAACAGGGTCTCTATGTGACATTTTAACCAGGGCGGTCATATTCAGTAATAGGAGTAGAAAAACGTTATTTTATATCACAGTTTGAGAGTTCATAAAATTAAAACAAAAATTATTTATTTTTTGTACCAAACTTATTAGTTTAAGGTGTTTTTAATAAGTTGACGTCATCAAATGACTAAACCTTTTAAAAATATTTTTTTCGACAATTAACCATATTACGGCGTTGCCTTAATTTAGAGTCAAACTTCTACGAAGATGTGAATGTGTAGCACTAATTATTTTTTATGTATTCCTATGTAGTAAGCACTTATTTGGTATACACAACAGGTCTTGGTCTTGTCTGTGACTGGAACGGCGCTCCGTCAAAGTTTGGCTTTGATTTAAGACAACGCCGTTCCAGTCCCAGATAAGATCCCTGCTGTTGTGTGTGATAATTATAATTATTAAAGTATGCAATATCATTTATTTGTAAGTTCTGGTTCGATGTAGAACACTAATGGTTAATCCCAAGAAGTACGCAAATTTCTTCAGCGGACTTTTGCACTATCCTACCGACTGCGCCAATTAAGTTATTTGTTGATGTGTTTAGATAAACAATATACTTACTAAGAAATGCACCCTGAGTGATGACATATAACATAACTACGACGATAAAAAGTCTTATTTTGTTGGTGTGGGTGTGCTGCGGCCTACATTGCGAGCTCTTATTAAGTGTAAACGATACAGTGATCAAAATCAGTAAAACGGAAAACAATAAATATAAATTAAATAAACAAGAAAAAATAAACAATAGTAAGTTCGAAAAGTGCGGGTGGCCCCCGGTTTAAGTCACAAAGTGCTATAACGACGCAAAAGTTTGTTAGAGTGAGTGATTAAGGTTAGGTCACACCGAAAAGCCACCTGGCTACTCGACTACCTGGTCGGTCACCTGGCTACTCGACTACCTGGTCGGTCACCACAATCGGCCAACACGGACTGTCCGCTATGGACAGGGTAGAAGAATTCCAAGCCTAATTAGTCCAGCTAAGTAATTATCCTAATTACATGACCTAATAACAGTACCAATTCGATTCTAATCAATAAACTAATCTTTAAAAACATATATACGCTAACAGGCTTCAGAAAACAAACAGGTCCCTACACTGAGAAAAGTAAACTCTTATTTCAAGATTTTCCACATTCAATACGAACAATGTGGATAATGGTTTTATTTAAAAGTCCCGATGTTACTTTTTTACATTAAACTCGTAAAGTTTGAATATACATTTTTAATACAAAAAAAATTGTACAAAGATTTCAACTAATGCAGTTCAGACATTAATTTAATGAATAAAAACTTTGATATAAGCATTCTTGTACAACAACCTCTGATTGTTTGTTTAAGATTACTTTTTATTTGTTTACAAAAATAAAGAAAAAATAATTCTTAATCAACAAAAATAAGAAATCATTTCCGTAAGTGTTAAACTAACAACCTTATTTTTCTCAATGTAGCCAACCCACAATCAACTTATCCAAATAAAAAAGGCGTAAGAGTAAATAAACCAAATCAAGCATGAACTCCCGCCCACTGTGGTAGGGATTGAATTTGTTTGCTTGCTGTATCATTGTCGTAGCTCAGGGCTAATAATCTCGATGAATTAAGGGTGCAAATCTTTAATACATTGGGAGATATTAGTCCTGAAATGCTGTTTAACGTGCGCAGGAATTTTTATGATAGGCTAGGGTATTGTTTAACTGCTGCTGGTGGTCTATTTGAACATTTAATTTAGAAAAAAAGTTATTTTCGTTATTTTAGAATTATTTTTCTTATTTTTGAGAATTTATAGGTTTTATTTTTATCGAATTCGTTTGTTTTGTTTTAATGCATTTCTGCAAATAAAAACTAAGTATTGTTTAAAATCCATTAAATTCCAGTTAATTCCAGTTAATGGCGAAAATGTATTTCTTAAGAACTATACACATTTCCCTACGACAGCGTCGGAGCTACTGAACAAACACAGTAGATCAAACTGCATGCCCTTGTATCTGGCTGCATGCCGCGCTGTTAAAAGAGCACTTCTGTATATAAACTTTTGTATACAGTGTGTATTAAAACGAATAGATACACTTAAATAAAACAAGTGCCAAACTCCCGCCCACTGTGGTAGGGATTGAATTTGTTTGCTTGCCGTATCATTGTCGTAGCTCAGGGCTAATAATCTCGATGAATTAAGGGTGCAAATCTTTAATACATTGGGAGATATTAGTCCTGAAATGCTGTTTAACGTGCGCAGGAATTTTTATGATAGGCTAGGGTATTGTTTAACTGCTGCTGGTGGTCTATTTGAACATTTAATTTAGAAAAAAAGTTATTTTCGTTATTTTAGAATTATTTTTGTTATTTTTGAGAATTTATAGGTTTTATTTTTATCGAATTCGTTTGTTTTGTTTTAATGCATTTCTGCAAATAAAAACTAAGTATTGTTTAAAATCCATTAAAGTCCAGTTAATTCCAGTTAATGGCGAAAATGTATTTCTTAAGAACTATACACATTTCCCTACGACAGCGTCGAAGCTACTGAACAAACAGTGTCAAACACAGTAGATCAAACTTGTATCTGTCTGCATGCCGCGCTGTTGCCATATGCTATTATTGTTTCCTAAAAGGGTTGTTTTTCTTATTTTTTAATATTAAAACTAAATCAAATTATTTTTGACATATTATTAATTTTTTTGTTATTTTTAAAGTTTCAAACAAATAAATTTGAACTATTTATTAAATAATTATAATCGTTCTCTTCTGATTTAAAACAACCTGGCAACTATGGTTCGTAATAACGAATGGCTTGGTTTAAACCACAG